ATTGAATGGTTAACTCATGCCATGATTGCAGGCAAATAGAGGACAATCGTGTGCTAAACGAGTCAATCCAGTCGCTGAACAAAGCCTTCACCACAATCGCCAGGACGTCGACATCCGAAGCGAACAAATCGTTCGCCAACAGGAGGTTACAAGAACTCAAGGATAAGATCCAGTAAAACAACCATTGATTGCCTTAAAAAATGAAATGATTAAATGTCTTAAGACAGCCATTGATTCCCTATTTATTGTAATCATCAGTAAAATCAATGAATGTTTGGATAAGTCGTTGGCGTATAAGTTGATGATTACGGGCACCACCACTACAACCACTACCCGTCCTATTGAACAGACATCGAGCGCTAAGTACTGATTGGAAGTCATAAAACAATATTCAAACCAAATCTTAATTTTAGTTTTTATTTTCATAGACAGCCGGACGGGGAGGCGTCGACCGATGCCAACGAGACTACCGGCGCCGCAGCAGAAGTGGAGGCACCGAAGCCCCCGAAAATGATACGCCTCTACCAGCCGTCCCCTCGACTCCGGGGTCAGTGGGTGTGCTGTCTGTGCGACGAGCTATTGCCCCACTGGAAGGCCATACAGAGCCACCACAAGCCGTACCGGTGCGAGGGTTATGAGTGTGCGATGGCGGCCATGGAGGTGCCCGACAACGCCATATTAGTGGCCGAGCGGCTCGATTGGTGGGAACCGTAAGCACCGGGTGGTCACGGGGACAGGCGTTTACAACTCGTACATTGATTTGGTTTATTAAGTGAATTGGTTTTGGGTATAAGTTTTGGAGTTAATAATTGGTTTTCATTCAGTTTTGTTGTGATTATTAAGTTTCAAAACATGTTTGTAATTAGTTTTTGTATTTTTTATGCAACATATTTATTATTATATTCACGCAAAATGTTTTTTCATTACATAATCGTCTATTATATTTGTTGTACACTATACAGAGTCGGTACACTATTTGTAAATACAGTCAAACAATTTATGTTATTTAAAAAAGCTATTGAATTAAAAGCTTTTTTTCACTACCGGTACTGTAATCAAATCCTAAGCGCACGTTGTTTGTGATAAGGCATGAACTGGACAGTTATCACTGGATATTACTGTAGTGACAATTATCAGGGTATAATTAATTTCATAAAACTTACCTCGCTATTTACGCAAATAGCCGGATAATTTCTACAACAATCAAGTATTGTGTTAAACATTAATTAATTATTTTAAAAATTACTGACACTATAGGGGGCCATATACTGCTTAACAGTAATAGTTGTAACGTAATCTATGAGCAGCGCTTATGTGTACAAACAAATGAATTGACAGTTTGTGTCAAAATCAGTGATAATCACCAAAACAGGTCTCGATATCTGACACAAACACACGAGTGGTATAGCCATCGATGGCGTCCAAACCGATTCGTATCTCCTTCCGAGGTGTGGTGCCAAACATGCGTGACATCTGGTACCCAATCCCACCAGAAGTGGTCACTTTGGACGACTTGAAGCGGGCGCTCACCTCAAGACTGTTTGTGAGGCCACAAGACGTGGACCTCTATGTGAACGACACGGCGGTCACTGATTGGCGACAAATCGATTACATGACCGATAAGGATGTGCTGCGACTCAAGTGATGGCAACGCTTCCCACGCGCCATGACTTCGCACATGACTTACCATTCATGAGATAATTGTCACATAAATAGATATTTAGTATAAAAAAACTTTTTGTAAAACTTTATAAATTATTTATTTAATATTTACTAAACATTTTAAATGTACTGTATTTATAAAATTATATGTATTAATATTACCGGGGTAATAGTATTTGTTTAACTTATGTCATGATATGGTATGTGTTTTTTGGGATCCATTTCCCTCGCCGTTTTGCACCCAACCCATGAGCCCTACCCTTAAGCTCATCCAGCGGTTCAGGCCGTCGACCACTGGTTAGTCTATTAATAGTGCCGCTGACTCAAAGTGCCGTAAATACCGTACAAATGTTGTGCCATTATTCAGACCCCCTTTGCATTGAGTGTCACGTAATCTCTGAACAGTGCACTCATTGCGCAAAGCGTTGAACAGCTGAGCGATTGAATCAATTGTTTTGTGATTATCTTCTTAACCACTGTTTTGTCTCCAATCGTAGGCCACGGATCAGTTCCCACAAGGCATTCACAGGACACGCGACGTGGTGTAGGGAACCGGAGGAATGGCGTCGAGACCATTGAGTATAATAGTGTCGGTGAAGACATTGCGTCCCGAAGTCGATGACTATTGGCTACTCATACCAACCGATGTGCAGACAATCGCTGACCTTAAGCGACACGTGATGTCCATTGAGGCCATCGATTGTCACCGACACCAAGACGTGGATCTATGGCTCGCCGACGGAGTGCTCAGAGATGGCAACACATCAGTCGGTGATATTCTTCAGAATAGAGATCGCATTGAAATGCGGGCCAAGAGTTGTGGTGACAAGAGGTTCGCCAACAGATCCGCCGGTGATAAGTATGCCATTGAGTGGGTGTTTGTGACACAGATATCACTCGAATTGTTCCCAATATTTAGCTGCGAATCGGACGCCGACTCGGAGGACAGTCGCACCACTTATACGGTGAGTAAGTGTACGCCAAAGACGTCGAGGAATGGATCGAAACAGACATCGCTGGCGAGTGGTGTGAATGGATCGATGGATGAATTGTTCGGGTCATCGGTGGTCGACGGCCGCAAAGATCCGGATGACTCGGAACCGTCCAATTGGACGAAGCATTTAGTGGACGACAAGTATGTGTTGACCGTCAAACTCACGAGTTTTTGGGACAATCTCTTGAATCCAATGTCTTATCCGTTCAGTAATTCTGATGACGAGTACTACTCAATGATCCACACATTGGGCGCCAATCGGACAGTCAGTAAGAAGTCGTTCAACACATCGGACTCACTATACGACGACTGTATGGACCAGACTTTGGTGACCAACAGATCCGACCACTCATTGCATAAGAGATTAGATGCGAGACAAACGTATGAAACCAATTGATTTCAAAACCAATTGATTTGAAAATTTATTACCAATTCTTATGCAAACAAATTGATAGCCCGTCCAATACAGTGGCAACTGATGGCCACACCTTTACGACAGCACCGGTAGACTCATCGACACCTGTGGCCAATCATTCCCTCAATAAGTATTCATTTAATTTGTTAACAATTAATATTTATTTATTAATAAATTAAATCTATTTTCAATTACCATTAGTACTGTTACGATGACAACCACTACCGGCGCTCCGATGACACCACCGGAAACACCCCCTGAGGTTATCAGTGATACGTGCGATGGGAGGCGCTGTTCGACTACCGTTTCGTGTGTCGAGTAATGATAACACTTTTGAAATTAAAAATAATTTTTCAATTTTTTGTTCCAAATGTCTGTCCTCTGGAACAGGTCTTCACCGCAAACGGAGCTCATTGTTCAGCGAATGGAAGCACAGGTAGAGACGTTCGATGGGTTGTCCATTGATTTCCAGCGCCGGTACTTCGGCCTTAACACTGATGTCTCAGGCGTTGATAAAAAGTAATTTATATTTTCATTGAAATTGTTATTAATTTTTATCGCTTACTACACATTGAACTCCAGTTCCAACCCGTGGTATAAGGACTACATTAAGGGCCTGGGATTGAGCCGTAACACTAATAGCCCGGGAATGGGGTCGACCTGTAATACCGGTGCCACGTCCGACACCGAGAGCTTAGCCTGCCGTTCGGGGTCTCAACTGTTGCACCAAATACGCGACAAACTCGAGGAAATGGATGCTAAACGAGAGCCCAATTACTCCGCATCGGGTCGGACGTCACCAGCCGTTGATATAACTGCGGGACCACCGCATAAGACATCCATTTCCACTGCAAGTTATCGACACTCGGGCGACAAGTATTTGAATTCAGTTTTGAAAATAAATTGTTTTAAAAATTAAATTTTTGTTTTAAACAAACAGTAGGTGCGAATCGGCCGGTGCTGACGGTTTGCCAGACGTTCCCATTCCGGCAATCATTAAAACAATGGCTGTTCTCATGGACTCCGAGCGCAAAACGAACGGTGGCTTCACTTTCGCGGTGATTATGAGTCTGCCGTTAGGGACGGCTAATGGCTGTCCACTTGAAGACAATTACGAGCTGCAGATGCAGACACTGGACAGTCGTATCGAGAGGACTACCGACCGATTGGACGCTGTTTGGGGTACTATGGGTCGGGTGGGCGTAAGCTCAGTGTCGGCGCCGGGATGTGAGAGTCTGAGGGGGGCGGACGTGGAGGACATGTCGGCGTTTGTTAAATATTTGTTTCCCTTTCCGTACATAACTGTCGGTCCCAAAGAGTGGGTGGACAGACGTAACGCCCGTTTGTTGCAGTATTTGCTACTCAAACGGGAACTGGCGGTCAATATGGAGGCCCTATCGAGGGCTGGGAAGTGTGTGTTTTAATTGGGTTTTGGATATTATTTTGAATTTATGTAGCGTGTAATCGATTCATTCATTTTGTTGTCAATTGTATTGCAATTGAAATTTGATTGAAAGCTAATTATAAATGAAATGTTTTGTGTGTTTTAAATAATGTGATTAATTATATAGTTTAATATTTATTGTTTATTTAATAATGACTTAATTATGATATTTCTAATGAATTCATTTTAATAAAGTTTACTACAGGTAATAAAAACTAGTATTATTTTGTATTTATTTAGCGTTTAATCTATTGATTCATTTTGTCGTCAATCGTATTAAATGTGTTTTGGATTTTAAATTCATTTTGCATTGAAATATGTGTCAATTGTTAGCTAATTATGTGTAAAGTGTTTTGTATGTTTATAATAATATAATAAAAATACCCCAATTACCTTTTAATTGAACCATGGTGTCTTGTTTAAAACTGTGTAATCAAATACAAATGCTTTTAATAAATGAAATGCTAATTGAATTACATAATATTTTACATATTGTACAATTATAATATAATATCTAAATATGCATTTAAACAGTAAATGTATTTTGCTTTTATTAATATAAAATTATTAGATTTTTTAGAAATGACCTTATCACTTTTACAAAAATTATATTTTCATTATACTTTGTTCGGTAAGTTTTAATAAAATATTTTTTATGGTAACCTTATCCGTATACAGTATAATAAAATTTTTAAAAAATTATTTTGTGTTGTGACATTTGTATGTATAGTATATAAGTTTTATGAATACCCGCTAAAAATGAATTATTTGCTATAAAATAATTCTGTCATTTAAAAATATATTTCTTATTTTAATCACAATTCTTGGTAACATTTATTACTCATTTATAAATTCATTTAAATTTATTGCATAAAAATATTTATCATTTCCTCACTCACGAGGTAATTGTTTGATTTAATAAATACATGGGTGTATATTATTACAAAATTATTTTATGCTTACTTCACCAAATATTAACATGTTCAAATATAAATTTCCCAAAAAATAGATTAACTGTGCTTTACTATAATTGTCAACTGATTGTACCGGTTGTATTACCGGTAGAATTGGTTTTTAACTCTATTATTATTGTATGTGGAACAATTACATGGAAAATGTTTAAAATTAAATCTACAAACATAATTATTAGTTTATAATATAAGTTAGTTTACGATTACAAGTATCATAGTACTAAAACTACATGTATTGTAATAAATTATTATATTTTAATAGATATTTATAATTTATAAATTTTAAAATATTATAAATTTTTATGAGTCATAATGTAGAATTTTTTATAATCAATAGGGCGTAGACATTGTCCTTGCACCAAACCTATTATCGGTATAATACACGAAACATAAATACAAATAAAACAAAATATTAAACCATAATTTTAATGTTTGTAATAAAAGACTTGAGCTTGGTTAGTTCAGCTTGTTATAGTGTGGCTCTTTTTATACAATAAAGATATCATATTATCATTTAATATTAATAATATAAAATTAAATCAATTAAATATATGAATATTTTATTTGTGTTATAAAAGCATTAAATAAACATAAATGTATTTTTAAATTTATAATACAGTTACATCATACTCAATCGGAATCATTGTTTTTATTATTGTCACCACCCTTATCACCTTGCTCCATTCCGAAAGGATTGCATATTGACAATATACAACTATACAACCAATTGCCAATAATTACCTATGATTTATGCTTAGGCATGGTTATAACAAGTACAATTTAAATTGCTAGTGCCATCAAACCGATTAGTGCCTGGGCAACTTCAAATCCTTTAATTATAATAATTATTTTTATAAATGTATATTAACTATACTTATTAATTTCACAAAAATCTCTATGTATTTATCTTCTACCTGTTTTTATTGTTTTACACCTTTACCTGTATTTTCGAAATACCTAGAGAAAATTCATTTCTAAACTAGAATATTCTGTGCACCATATAAAATATTTGTGCAAGCAGATAATATTTAGTATATTGAAAGACAGATCGAACAAAGTTGAGATGACCCCGATCTATTGAGTCGTTGCTGAGATTTATGAATTTGAAATTATCCAATTTTCACAAATAAAGAATTTTTAAAAATAACCAAGGTAAAATTTTGCGAAATGCAGAAATGAGTTTTTTCATATTGACCCTGCGCACAATTTCCAAAATTCAGAACCTGCCTACATCTTATAGTTTTAAGTTATTGGTGGACGGTCATATCTACCGTTCCCCTTATGTCCTGATAAAATTTGGCATACGTTTGGTGCCAAAAAACAATAGTTGCAAAATTTTTTATTTTTGTTCTAGCTCTATTCTACGATTTTTAGTGCTTAATAAACGACTACGCACCCTTTTGTCAAAAGCTTTATCTAGTAATCTAGTAATCAATTGATACATATTTTAAAACAAAATATATTTCACATCCAAAACACATTCAATGCATTTGACAACAAAATGAATCAATTGATTAAATACTAAATAATATCAGTTTTGTAGGTTAAAAATGGCAAGCGGGGTTTACAAAGTTGGCACGCAAAATTAAACTTTATCTCCAAGCTACTTTTAAAAAGCAAATATTGTTAGAACTGTGTGCCAAATGTGACACCACTTCTATGCATCAAATTATTACACTGTTCTTACTAATAATAACCCTTATATAGTAAATTGAATAAAAATATAAAAATTAATTCATTTTCCACAATTTTAAATTTATAAGAAATGAAATACAAATGATGAAAATAAATGATGAAATATTTATTTTAAAGTTGTGTTACTTCTAGTTTTCACACTTTATATATCCTACCCCTCAATACACTTATGGCATAAGTCTTATGCTTTTGTCAAACCCAACCATATTTAATCACATAATATTTTCAATATAACCAGCTGAGATCTCAACTTTGCTATAAAATATAAAATATGAATATGAGATGAGTGCATGTCCATGCTCATTTGTTAGCGTCAATGATTGCCATAACTGTTAAACCTTGCAAACAATTAGTTACTGCACTTTAACAAAACAAATCTGTTTTGATTTATAAAATTCTATTAATACTGTATCTCTCAACCAGTGTGACTAACCGTCCTCTATTGGAGAGGACAGTCCTCTATTTAGGGTGTCTGTCCTCTGTGCTTTAAAAGAGAAATAGTTGACATTGAATGTCCTTTAGTTGTGAAAATTATAAAATGCCTTATTTAGAAAAATAGTTGCATTATAAAACTGTTATATATATTGTATTTCACATTATAATCATAATAAAATACATAATCATTTAACTAAATTATATTTAAGTTGAGCAAATTTGTAGGAAAATATTTTTTAAAACTAATGACAAAACTAGGTAAAAATTTCTGCTGTAAAAATATTTTCAAAAAAATATAATTCAAGTCCACTATTTGTTCTTTATTTATTCAATTATTTTATCAAAATGTCCACTAATTACAAAACTTGGGTTGGTCACACTGCTGCCAACACTGTTTGCTAATATCAAGCATATAAGTCATTATAATTTTAAACAATAATACATGAACTATAAGGAGTTTTCAATGTTGCTGACTTATATAAATTAATATAGTTAACTGTTTAAACGTTTAATATTATATGCATTAATTAATTAACATTATAAATAACCATTTAAAATATCAAATTTTATAACGATTGCAATACAATTGAATAAAGATTGAAAATTAGTTAATGATAATAAAAGAAATGTTTTATGTTTTTAAATATATGTTTAATAATATAGTTTAATATTTATAGTTTAGTTAATAATGACATAATTCTAATACTAATTAATTATTTTTAATAAAATTTACTAATAAAGACCTATTCACTTAGCTGTAAAAATAGTATTTAATCTACTTTACTACTGTATTCATGGATAATTGTTTATTTATGTAACATGAATTTAAAATTAAGATATTTTTAATAAAAATTGTTAATTTCTCATATTATAAGTGCAGTACTTCTTAATGACTTATTGTTTATAATTAACTTTTTGATTTATTAAAACTATTTTATTAAATAAATTGTCAACAATTGTATTATTTGATCACATTGCATTTGCACTAGCACGATTTCAATAACAAAGTCATTAGTGTTATATAAACACAATGTCACACATTTAGTTGATTGTTCATATGTATGATACTTATGATTCATAAGATATGAACATTAATTAAATAAATAATGGAAATATTATAACTACAATCAAAACACTGATCACAATGTATGAGCATGTGTCCAGGTGCTTTTACGGGTCGCACACGTGTGACGATAGTATATAA